CCCGCCATGCTGAGGCTTCCAGCGGCTCGGGCCCAGGAGACACCGGGCCCTCTGACCCCCGTCTGGCTCGCTCCCTGCCAGCTTCAAAGCCTGAGGGTAGCCTTCATTCCAGCCCCGCAGGCCCCAGCAGCTCCAAGGGCTCTGGCCCTCCCTCTCAGGAAGAGGAGGAGGGAGAGCGGGCCCTGCGGGAGAAGGCTGTGAATATTCCCCTGGATCCCCTTCCTGGGCACCCACTGCGGGACCCCAGGTCACAGCTGCAGCAGTTCAGCCACATCAAGAAGGATGTGACCCTGAGCAAGCCCAGCTTTGCCCGCACCGTGCTCTGGAACCCCGAGGACCTGATCCCTCTGCCCGTCCCCAAGCAGGACATGGTGCCCCCTGTACCTGCTGCCCTGCAGTCCATGCCTGCCTTGGACCCCCGGCTGCACCGTTCCAGCCCTGCAGGGCCCCCCAGTGCCCGCCAGCGCCCAGGCACCTCCACAGACCCCAGCACCTCCGGCTCTAACCTGCCCGACTTTGAACTCCTCTCTCGCATCCTCAAGACTGTTAATGTTCCTGGCCCCTCTGCAGCTCCCAGCCCAAGTGACAAGCCCAGTGACCCCAGGGTGCGGAAGGCCCCTACTGACCCTCGACTGCAGAAACCAGCAGACTCAGTGGCCTCCTCGCGTGCTGCCAAGCCCAGCCCTCCCGAAGGGTCCTCTCCAGCCTCCAGCCCCAGTGGAGGGTCCTCGCCACCAGCCACAGCTCCCTACGACCCCCGAGTGCTGGCGGCCGGCGGGCTCGGCCAGGGCAGTGGCAGTGGGCAGAGCAGTGTGCTAAGTGGCATCAGCCTCTATGACCCGAGGACTCCCAACGCAGGTGGCAAAGCCGGGGAGCTGGCTGCAGATGCACCTGCCCAGCCCAAGGGCCCTGAGGGCAACGGCAAGAATGCCGTCTCTAAGGCCAAGGAGCCCCCATTTGTCCGCAAGTCCGCATTGGAGCAGCCAGAAGCAGGGAAAGCTGGTGCAGATGGGGGCACAGCCCCGGCCACGGACAGATACAACAGCTACAACCGGCCCCGGCCCAAGTCCGCCACAGCCTCCACCGCTGCCACCGTCACTACGCCTGCGGAGGGTGCCCCGCCCCAGCCTGGGGTGCACAACCTGCCAGTGCCTGCGCTCTTCGGGACTGCAAAGCCAGCACCCAAAACGGGCTCAGGAAGCCCTTTTGCTGGCAACAGCCCGGCCCGAGAGGGCGAGCAGGACGCGGGGTCCCTGAAAGATGTTTTTAAAGGCTTCGACCCCACAGCCTCCCCCTTTTGCCAGTAGTGTTAGCCAGAACCAGTGCTCCTGCCACCCCACCTCTTCCAAGGTGATATTTAAGGGCAGCAATCAGAGTTGGGATTAGGGGGATGGGGAAGGGGCTGGATGGTTTTTTTTCCTTTTCTTTTTCCTTGTTTTTGGTGGGGTTTTTTTGTGTGTGGTTTTTTTGTTTTCTTTTCTTTTCTCCCTCTCCCCAAATAGTATTTCCTCTGAGACATAAATAGTACATAACCATCTTAGGTGGGTTCTGGTCAGTGCTGCAGGGCTCCTAGAATCTCCGAGGTACTGGGCCTGAGCCACAGTGGGTGCTCTGGAGCCTGGGCCTCCCTGGATGCAGTGCAGGGAGGGCTTCTGGGCAAAGCTTGGGGCTCTCCTCAGGACAAAGGGAACAGTAAGTGTCTGAGAAGGGACTGAAGGTCACTCATCCCGCACTGCTGGGTGAGGAGAAAACGGAGCCCGGTCCTGGCGGGACCTGTGAGGAAGCCAGGGCTCTTCAGTGTGAAGCCCATGCCAGCTGCTTCAGAAGGGAAAAATTAAAGGTATCAAAGGAGGTGGCTGAGAATTCTCAGTGGCACCCTGGTGCCCATTCCCTGGGCCCACTCTTGTCTCTGAATTACCACTCGAGCCCCTCTGTCCCTGTCCCCAGCCCCCAGTTGTGCCCCGAATCGGGGCCCTCCAGCCTGCACAGGAGCCTCAGGGTGAAGGCAGCTCTGGAGGCAGCAGGCCTGTGGGGACAGTAGCCCCTGATGAGCCGCCTCAGGACCCAGGAGCACGTTTTCTGTCAGTATTACCCATCCTGCCCCACACCGGGATCTGCCCCGGCCCCCCGAAGCCGCAGCGCCCTGTGTGCATGCACTGCTGGCCTCCACCCTGACAGCAGCCCCACAGGCTCCCCTTGGGAACCCCGGGTGGCCCTTTCACACAGTGTTTGCGCTCTCTGCTTGCTTTGTTCCTCAAGCCGCTAGGACACGAGGTACTGGTGTTTGGTTTTCCTCTCCCAGGCCAGCAAGTGTCGGGTTTAGGGTTTGTATGCACTTCCCAAGAGGTGGATAGGGCAGGAGACTGTCGCTGGGGCAAGGAGGGGCCGAGGACCCCACTGGGGATGGAGGACTGAAGGTTCACCTGAGCCCGACAGAGCCGTCATGGCTGCAGCGGCCCCTTTCCCCTACTCCCACCCCGCCTGAGGACTGGCCTGGTCATACGGTCCCCGGGGAGGCCCCACCTGGGAGTATGGCTGGGTTACTCCAGGGAGCCCAGCAAGGCCTGGGCGGCACTGGCCCCAGAAGTACGCACTTCCTAAAAGGTCTGGGTACTTGGGGTCCCTCTTCTGCTTGTTTCTCCTGGCCTCACTGTCAGTGTTGCCACACTGAGGACCCAGACTCATCTGTTCACAGGTCTGGTCATCCAGACCTGAGGGACCCTCTCTGTCCCAAGTGGAGTACGCACAAGGCTTCTGGGCCACCCACAACCCAGAGAGAAGAAATAACTCGATTTGGGGGCAGGAGACAGGGTGGGAGTGGCCAGGCCAGGTACCCTGCAAGGCCAGATAGCGCTGGGGTCCGCAGGCTGAGGTCTGGCCATCCTGGCTGGCTGCCTCCCTCTTGTGTTGTTTCTAAAGCATCCATCAGTGAGATTTGTCTTCAGCCGCAGAGCTGGCCTTGAAGCAGAGGGCTACGGCTCGTGTGTACGAGATGAGGAAGGATACGCAGCGTGGCAGTGTTTTGGGTCCCCCCCCCACTTCTGAGAACTTTCTTTTGTAAAGGAAAACGTAAATGCTTTTTTTAAAACTAAAATCTGTGGATGAAATAGAAGCTGAAGTGCTCCTCTTGGAATGTTCAGCATCAGAACCTCATGGAACTATGAATTCATCCAGAATTCCCTTTTGCCATCAGGCCGAGCTTTTAAAGAAAAATTGTTCTCTAACCAGGATTGTAACAAAAGTGTAAATACTGTTTCAGAGTTGAAAGTTGATGGTGCAAATATGTATATAATGTACTGTATTTTTACAATGATCGTCGCATGACTCTTCCCCTTTTTGTACTCCATATCTGTCTTCCAGAAACCTCTCCTGCCTTTTCTCCTGTGTCTCTTAATCCGATAATTGTATTACTGCCATTAAAGGATGCAGTTATTTTAAACAGCCTGCGGGTCTATGGTGCCCAGACCTTCCTGTGCCCTGGAGTGTGACGAAGGAAGGCGGGCGAAGGCTGGGGAGTATCTGTGGACTCTGCCGCTCTGTCCTTCCCCATGGTGCCCTGGAGCCTGTGCTCTGCCACTGAGTACCCGGTCCCCGCTGGACAGCAGCTCTTTGGGGCTCTCCGGGGAGCCAGAGTGGGGATCTGTCCTGCCGTCCTGGCCTGTGTGTCTGTGCATACGCAGAGGGTCCCCATGGGCGATACTTTGACTTTATGATGGGGCAAAACCCATCTGTGTTGACTGCTTCTGTACTTCTGAATTTGCGCTTTTAACTTTGATCTTTTCCCGGCAATTTGTGATCTGATTGCTTTTTTTTTTTTTTTTTTTTTTTTTTTTTGGAGACAGGGTCTCCTATGTAGCCCAGAACTCCCTATGTAGCCCACGCTGGTCTCAAACTTGCAGCGATCCTCCTGCCTCAGCCTCGCCAGTGCTGGGATTACAGGTGTGCACCACCACACCTGGTTCTGATCACTTGTGAGAGGTGGCATTGAGCTGCAGTTCCCGGTCAGCCACGTGAGGTGTTGAATGCTTTTATTATAAAATATGCTTTGACTAGGTGTGGTGGAGCACAACTGTATCCCAGCACTTGGGAGACTGAGGCAGGAAGATTGCTGCAAGGTCAAGGCCACCCTGCACTACATAGACCCTGTCTCAAAAAAAGAAAAAAAGGGCCAGGGATTTAGCTCAGTGGTTTGGTGGCCTGCCTTGAAAGCACAAGGACCCGAGTTCCATCCCCGATACCAAAAAAAAAAACAAAACAAAAAAAAAACGGGTGTAGCTCAGTGCAAAGGCCCAGAGTTCTGTCATAAATGGGCCTGCTGTTAGATAATGTTCAGCAGCAGCAGGTGTAAGTGCAGGGTTCTGAGCGCTTTGAGGCAGAACTGTCCAGTTTGACAACTTTTGGGGGGGCGGGGGTACTGGGGATCAAACTTGGGACCTTGTGCTTGCAAGGCAGGTGACAGAACCACTGAGCCAAATCCCTGGCCCTCAATGCGTCCTGCGCTAGAGCATGTTATGCAGAGATAGCACTGTCCTGAGTTGAGTAGAAGCTGGAAGGGGCAGGGGCAGAGGTTTTGCCCCAGTGTGGAGGGTGCCACGTCCACAGCTGGCGGAGATGACCATCTCCCTTTCTCCTGAGACGTTCTCGCTGCGTTGCCCAGGCTGTCCTCGAGCAGCTGGGATTGCAGGTGTGCACCACCTCACGGGGCTGGGGATGGAGCCCAGTGCCCATGCTAGTGTGTGCTGAACCGGTGAGCCCCACCCCGGCTCTCAGGCCGGCCAGCCTGTTAAGACCTTCAGCCCAGTGAGGCGTGCCCACATTCTGGAGGGCAGTCTTTCCACAAAACCTGGTTTCGAAGTCCGTCTCACCCAGACACCTCACAAAACGATCTAGAATGATGTTTGGGCAGGTAGTTGGCCCAGCCAGATGAACACACAGTTGACCACCACGACTGCCGAGGTGAGGAGCCCCCACCCACTCATCTGGCTACAGTTGCCCATAGCCATCAGCAGGCCGGAGGCACCCTGGGAGCAAGCATTAAGGTGGGTGCCCTCTGGGAGGACTCTCCCTTCACCCCACCTCACCCCTGCCTGGGGCATGAGGCCTCCAAAAGGCTTCAAGGTGCAAGAGCCTAACCCCAGGCTAGGCAACACACCAGTCCCCTCAGCAGAACACAGGGAAAGCAGAGGAGCACTTGTCTGTCGGGGAGGTGGGGTCACAGTGCTGGGAATGTAACCAGCGCCCCTCTGAAGGAGTCTGGGTGCAGCCATCGTCACAAGGTGTTCCTGGGGGCTTCAACTTGCATCCCACCGTGTCCCCAGCCACCCAATTAAAAAGTAAAAAGGGGCTGGGGCTTTAGCTCATTGTTTTGACTGCCTGCCTCCCAAGCACAAGGACCCGAGTTCAATTCCTGATACCAAAAAAAAAAGGCAAAATAGCTCCTGCACATTTTTTTATTTTTTCACTTCTACATATTTTTAAATTCTTCTGACAATTACTGGGTTTTTTTGTGTGTGTTTTGTTTTGTTTTGTTTTTGTTTTTAGACAGGGTCTCACTTTGTAGTTGAGACTGACCTGGAACTCACTATGTAGCCCAGGATGGTCTCGAACTCACAGCGATCCTCCTGCCTCAGCCTCCTGAGTGGTGGGATTACAGGTGTGCGCCACCACAACTGATGCTGACAATTACTGTTTTAAACTTTGTTGGCTTTAGATAATTTGTCAGCTTCCCATTCCCTGTTCCCTACATTTTAGTTGCTTTTTTTTTTTTTTTGACAGGAGCTTGGTAAGTGGCTCAATTGCCCAGGTTGGGTTTGAACTTGTGAGCCTCCTGCCTCTGCCTCCCAGAGTGCTGGGACTAGCCTGTGCCGCCACACCTGGGTTGTAGAGGCTTTTGTAACATTAAATAATGTGATTTGTCATTCCCTGTACTGATCTCTCATCAGCACAGAAGACTGGAATGATCCACGGTGGTGCCGGTGTCCTCTGTCCTGCTGTCCCTTAACAATCGCCACAGCCATGAGTGGCTGCTGAGCACCTGAACTGTGACAGGTGAACATAGGCACTGACTTTATTTCTGATGATGTTTAAACAGCCATGTAGAACTAGTGGCTGCAGTGTCGAAGGGCACAGCTACCAAGCACAGCTGTAGCCCTTTCGCTCCCTCAGTTACAAGGGTTGCCATAGGCCCATCACCTCCCCCACACCTCCCACCACCGGGTGCCTGCAGTCACTGTTCCCTACCCTAAGAAATTACCACGAATTTGATGGCTTAATGCATAAGTGGAGTGTTTTTTGTTATTTTCTTTTGCAGCCGGGCGTGGTGGCACACCCCTGTGATCCCAGCATTCTGGGAGGCTGAGCAGGAGGATCGCAAAGTCAAGCCCTCCCTGGGCAATTTAGCAATTTAAGGAGACTCTGTCTCAAAAAATAAAAGTAAAAGTTAAAAAAAAAGGAGGTGGGGGGATGATAAAAAAAAAAAAAAGCTGGGACTGTAGCTTAGTGCAAAGACCTTGGATTCAATCTCCAGTATCAGGCAGGGAGGGGGAGAAGAATCGATTACGTTTTTGCTTTTGTGGTACTGGCCTTTTTACATTTTTTTATTTTGAAGCAGGATCTCACTAAGTCACTATATTGCCCAAGCTGGACTCAATCTTGTGATCCTCCTGCCTCAGCTACCCCGAGTGCAGGACTGCAGGTGCACACCACCTCACCCTTCTAGACCACGTCAGAGTTACAAAACGACAGTGGTCTCCGGCTCAGCAACTGTCAGATGACCGAGGATCCATCCGATGCCCAGTCCAGGCTGAAACAGGAGGACTGTGCCTTCAGTCCAGAGAATTGTGGCCCCTGAGAAGAGGAGATGTTAACAGCAGAAAGCTGTATATTACACAGGTCTGTTCTGCCAGCCTGCCCTAAATCACATTTGATGGGGAGAGAAGACAAGCACAATAACTCACTTGGGGCCACCTAGTATGTCTGCAACAGGCTGTGGGACCGCCTTTCCCCTCCACCCTGGGGGCTTTGCACTGAGCTATATCCCTAGCCTTATTTATTTTTGTACTTTGAGACAGGATCTGTTCAAGGGTCTAAATTTTCCAAGGCTGGGCTTAAATTTATGATCCCCCCGCCTTAGCCTCCCAGTCGTGTGTTATCACGACAGGCTCTACATGTCTTTCACAAGCATGATGCAAGTTTCATCCTGTTCCCCATTTCACAGATGAACAAACTGAGGCACAGAGAGACTAACTAACCCGTTTAGATAAATAGCTGCTCAGTGGTAAGTAGGGCTCCAGACTCATCCAGACACTCGCAGGCTGTGTCTGTGGAGCACAGAATCACCTTACTGAGGGCAAGATGCCTTCTCCCAGGGCAGTGTGGTCAGAGGAATCCAGAGTGGCTTTTTCTTTTCCTGCTTACTCAATCAGCTCCTGGTCAGGAAAGCAGAAACTGGTCTTGGTACTTAGACCAGAAGGAATGTGGTGCAGGGAATTGGACCCCAAAGGACTGGGAGGTTTCAAGGGACAAAAGAGGAGGCCGGGGATTTAGCTCAGTGGTTCGGTGGCCCAAGTTCAATCCCCAGTACCCCCCCCAAAAAAAAGGAACAAAAGAGGGATGATCAGGTTACCAAAGATTAGTGGGTACAGGAAGCTGCTACAGTCTGCAGGGCCAAGGGAACCAGAGGAAAATGTCAAATGTAGTTTTCAGGCTTCTAGCCCCAGCCACAGAGGATGGCTCAGGAGGACCATGCACATGAACCTGAGTCGGCTGTGTCCAAGCAACTGCACTCTTTGAGAGCCCATAGGCCCTCGCCCTAGGGGGCACAGCCCTCGTCCTATACGGTCCTTAGCATTTCACCCGAGTACAGGAGAGTCTCTGTGAAGAGGGCATGGTGCAGCTTTTGGGGGCAGAGAAAGGTGAAGGAGACAGCCCCAAACCAGGAAGACCTGCTTAGCCCAGTGTGCCTCCCTTTCTCTGTAGGGCACCCCAGGAGTTGGAGGAGCATGACCTGAGGCCTTTGCTGCAAGGTACCCCTTCCTCGGCCCTTTCTCCCTCACAGGCCTCTTCACTCAGCTTTTAGCCTGCCACTTCTACATCTCCCAGGTAAGCCGTTGTCTTCCCAAAAGCTGTGTTAAGACAAATAGCCAGTGCCCTAAGCCAGCTGTCACATAAACGCCAATCCCATGTC